GTGCAAGCCAAAGTGCTGTGTGTTAAGATCTGGGAAGTAAATTAGGGCCCATTTCCTGGCATATGAGCTCACAAGGAAGGGCTGGTGTTTAGAGAGCAAGTTTGGCTTCTGTCCCTGATGGAAGGACCAGCCCCAGGATCAGTTCACAGGACTTGACTACATTTATCTCAGCTGCTGAACATGAAACACATGCAGGGCTTTCAGGAGGCTGCAGTGAACCAGAGCCACTGTCTCCTGCCTTGCCCAGGTCGTTCCCACCCTGTCACTTGTGTGTCCTACAGTGCTGGCAGAAAGGTCAGATCTTTGTGCTGGTTTGCCTCATGCTCACTGCTGAAAAAATGGGGTTCCCATTCCCCCATGGTGCCCTGAAGCTGCTCCTCAGGACCAGCAAAGCCAAGGGCTCTGGCCAGGGTGAGCTGCACACCAGCAGAGCTGACTGCACCCACCACTGACAGGCCCTAGAATAGGCCCAGAATTGTGCTGAAATTACCGTGAAAAATGGAAACAATCTACCCTAAGCCTACAAAGCTAGTGAATCCCAAGTAAAATGTTTCAAAGATTTGACACATCCTGGCAACCCAAGAGGTATTTTGGAAATAAAAACCTGCAGTTTCTCCTAGTTTAGTGCTCAGGCACAAAACTGAATAGCTTTGCTTTGTATGTATCATAAGGCAGCTCTTGCCTCATTTAAGGCTGTTTACATTCTCCTCCTCTACCTGCCTCCCAAGCTGCAGCAACAAAGCATTTCACCTGTCCACTGAGCACAACACCAGCTAAATCACCTATCACATCTCATTAGACCTGCCCTCATGAGCCCTCATGAGCCCTCATGCCTTGCTGGGATACCCATGACCCTCAGGTGCCCAACACCAGGTGCCCAAAGGCACCCCACCAGGCCTCCAGCTCCCTTGTCTGACATGTACAGCCCCACCACATATCCTGCACATAACCTGGGGAGATGTTATGCACACCCTCAGGCATCTTTAGAGCAGCCAGAAGACATCAGCAGCTGGGGTGAGCCATTTGTGTTTAAGAGCCCTTGTGTTAACTGGCCCTGCCCTGAATTCACCCACTGGAATACTTTAAAACTCCTGCCCGGCACCCAAAGAATCCTGAAGCCTTAAGAGGTATTGCAACTTATCTATTCACCTTGCAGAGCCCTCACCTTGCACCTCTCCAACCTGCCAGCTGCAAGGTTGAGCTGATGATCCCTTGTTTCCTTGTCTCTACGTGAGGAGAAAGAGGTTTCCTTGCTCACCTTTTTCCTATTGTGGCTTTTAGATCTCTCATTCTTTCCCAGCCTGACGCATTCCAGGCTGTGTCACCTTTCAGAAGTTATTCCAGACCTTTCTCTATCCTTCTTTCCCTTTGCTGTTGTTTGCCCACTTCTGCAGATTTTTTTTTTCAAACCAGCTTAAGGAAAATAAAAATATCTGCTTGGTTTTTATCTGTGATATATTAGCTGCAACCTTTATTTGAGTAACTCCGAGCTTGATTGCTATTTATTATTTTTAAAAGGAATGGGTGACTAATGGGTTTAGTCCTCTCTATAATTTGGATCTGTAGTGAATTTCTGTGTGACTTGATTAAAATACAACAGAAGTAAATATAGGGATCTGTCATTGAAGTTTATGCTGTGCACACCAAAGAGAAAAGGTTCCTTGTATTGGCCATGAGGATAAATAATATCCATATCTGTAGTCCTGGAAACAACTTGCTTTTGCCTGAAATTTAGACTGTCACAATCCATCTGCCTAACCAAAATGAGACATATATCCATGCTCCACTTCAAATGACAGTGGAGTTATCAACTCTTGTGGAGCTTTGTTGGAAGCTTTTACTCCTCTGGTCAGAAAAAGCTATAATTAGACCTTGGAAGGTAACTAACATATAAGCTGTGTAACATGAAGCTATGATGAAAAAAAGCACTTTAGCTGCATCATGTCATAAACTATGTGAGATCAACCACACCAGAGATGTTATTTATCCTCAAGATACTTCAATTTTTGAGAAAAACCCATAGTGGTTTTTCCCTACGGTGACTTTACCTCAGGATGGTTTGTATCAATCAGTTACTCTGCAGCAAATACAGGTTTTTCAAGCCAAAATTGCATGCAGTAGTCAAGGACAAAGAGCAGATATGAAGACAGCAATCAGCCCCTCTTTGGTGTTTGCTGAGCAGTCAAGCCTGGCTGGCAGTCGGACACAAGGCAATTATTGATGTGCAAACAGCACTTTGCACTCAGTTCTAATTTATATATTTAAATAGAAAACACATATTCCATTAAATCTGTTATGTGCACACCCTTCCCCTGCAGCAAAAATTTACTCTTGCAAGGTAAATTTATCTGATCTCAATACAAAGGTTCCATATCATGTTTGCCAAAAGCAAATACAATGCACTGGCCCTATCCCCAGTTTTACTTGGTGCTTTTCTTTCTAAAGGAACAGAACACAACATTACTAAATTTTCCTGGGTTTCATTTTTTTTTTTTTAATTATTTCTGAGGCTGGAGTTATTCCTGCAGCAGTTTATATTGCCCTCTTCCCCCACATCAATTTCCTTTCCTCAACCTGAGGAGTATCCTAGCAAAGGTGATAATATCCATGGGGAGATTCCCCAAAGCTTGCTCTGCCATGATGTACAGTGAAAGTTCAGAATGACTGGCTTGGGTTCTTTGATGGTTTTGGGGCATGGTGAGGATGGAAGACCTTTGAGTAGCTTAAGCTCTGCTTAAGCCCTCACAAAGCACTGCCTGGACCCTGAGCCTGCAAACACACAGGCTTCTTACTTGGTGTGGCTCTTGTAGTTACCAGTGAGTTCTGGGCATCAAGGGAACTGCATGCATTCATATCATGCCAGATATTTTGTCAAGTAAGTTACTAGATCTGTAGCTGTAAAGTATTCAATGCTGAAAATAATTACAAGCTGAAAGATAAAACAGTACAAAATACCATTCAAAGGCTTCTGTACACTGGGGCCACAAACAGTGAACTGAAAGCATGACTTTTGAGGTCATTGGCTGTTTGCAGCTGGTTTGCTCCAGAGAAACCACAGCATCTAGCAGTTACGTGCTTAGGCACCTAAGAAAAGAACATTGAAAATAATAATATTTTTATTCAGGCCAGCAAGAGTGGCTACAAAAGAAATATTGGAAAAAAAACCCCAACAGAATAAAGGAGATGGCTATCAAGATTACAGCTACCTTATATTCAAATAAATATATTTAAATGGCTGGTCTTGGAAAAGGTCATGGTCTTTATGAATCATTCATAATGTATTTCTTACTGGATTACTTTGCATGGGATAATGTGCACCTTCCTCCTTATAAGCAAGGAAGATGTATTTACATCTCAGGCTCAGCCTGTGAATGCAAAGCTATAGATAAATTTAATTTTAATCTGGCAATTTAATTCTTTAAATCACTGCAAAAGGAAGTAGCCCACTCATGCTAATGGCAATAGTTTACTTACAAAGCAGAACAGGAACTGAGAACCATTAAAACTAATGCTAAAACTAATGCAGGATTTCTAAGTTACTGAATCTACAATACAAAGGAAACAAGAAACTTTATCCAATTTGAAGCATGTATCCGGAAAATAAAGGCTTGGATTAATTTCCTTTGGTATATTCAAGTTTCTTTCCATGAAATTCCTGTTTTGCCACCTTAATTCCTCCAGGAACACTTCTGTTATTAAAATGTATTCTAAAAGTATATGTGCTAAATGATTTAAACTCCTTTTTTTTTTTTTTACTGCATGCATCACATTTTCACTTTTGCTATTAATTTTTCACCATTGTATGGTTACTATATGTAATCAGAAAACAAAGTCAACACCTAGAGAGCAGATGGCCTAAACAGGATTTGAAAACACTGTGATAACTTCTCTTCTACATTTTTAGATATAATTATATGTTCATAAACAAAGACTACATAAATATTGACAAACAAAAAATGGCACACATAGAAAATGGAAAATATAGAGCTGCACAAGATCTATTGTATGCACCATGTATGATATTTAAACTTATTTACAGCTAATGTAGTTTATAATCCACTTCATTGTCAGATATCATAATCCAAAATTGTACTTCAGGTACTGCTTTCCTACTTACAGCACCATTAACGGAGTACTAAGCTAAATAAATAAATAAATAAATAAAACCCTTACACCTAGTTCAGTTGAAGCATTTTCTGAATTACAGTAACATATTGATTCTTTCAATGTAATAACACTAAATCAAATCCTAACAGCGCATGAACACCTCAAATGGACTTAGGGCTCAAAATGGCTCATTTTATTTCTTGAAATGTGAGTTCAGGGAAAAAAAAATCTTAAAGTAGAAACTTATTATAATTTTTAGAATTGTTCAATCAATTTGAAAAAACCCAAAAGCGCAAAGAAATGTTGATAACTAAACATATACCTCTCTTTCCTCCCTACCCCCATCCCCTGGTAAAAATTTTCCTACTAGGATGTCCTAGTTTGGGCTAGGATAAAGTTAATTTTCTTCCTAGTTGCTGGTACAGTGCTTTTTTGAGAATAACGTTGATACAACACTAATGCTTTAGTTACTGCTAATAGTGCTCACCCTGAGCCAAGGACTTTGCAGTGGCCCATGCACCAGTGAGCAGGTGCACAAGAAGCCAGGAGGAAGCAGAGCCGGGAGAGCTGACCCCAACTGGCCAAGGCGATATTCCAGAGCAGGGAACATAATCCTCGGGATCTAAACGGGGAGGGAGTTAACTGGGAGGGAGTTAACTGGGAGCTGCCGACGCCTGCTCAGCTATGGGCGGGCATCGGTCAGTGGCTGATGAGGAATTGCACTGGGAATCACATCTCCCTTTGGGCTTTACTCCGCTCTCTCCTTTTCATTACAATTATTATCATTATTATCTTATTACTATTTTCGTTATTATTATCATTAATGAGATCCGTATAATTATTATACTTTATTTTGCTTCAAATATTAAAGTTCTTATCTCAGACCCCGGGCTTTACCTTTTCCCTTCCCGATTCTCCTCCACCCGGGATGGGGCAGGGAGGGGCCCGGGGTTACACCGGGACAAGGGAAGGTGAGGCGGGCGGGGTCCGGGGTTACACCGGGACAATGGAAGGTGGAGCGGGTGGGGTCCGGGGTTACACGGGGACAAGGGAAGGTGAGGGGGGCGGGGTCCGGGGTTACACCGGGACAGGGGAAGTTGGAGCGGCCGGGGTCCGGGGTTACACGGGGACAAGGGAAGGTGAGGCGGGCGGGGTCCGGGGTTACACCGGGACAAGGGAAGGTGAGGCGGGCGGGGTCTGAGGTTACACCGGGACAAGGGAAGGTGGAGCGGCCGGGGTCCGGGGTTACACCGGGACAAGGGAAGGTGAGGCGGCCGGGGTCCGGGGTTACACCGGGACAAGGGAAGGCGGAGCGGCCGGGGTCCGGGGTTATACCGGGACAAGGGAAGGTGAGGCGGGCGGGGTCTGAGGTTACACCGGGACAAGGGAAGGCGGAGCGGCCGCGCCGGGCCGGGGCTGCGGTGCCGGGCCCGCTCCCGCCGCCAGGGGGCAGCACCGCGCCGCGCCGGCGGCCCCGCCCCGCCCCCCGCCGCGCGCCCGGCGCTGAAGGGCGCTCGCTGCTCGCGCGCGGCCCGGGCCGGTGCGGGGCCGCTGTCCCGGCACAAATCGGTCCCCGGTGAGCCGCGATCTCCAGCCGGGAGGTGTCCCCACCGCAGCCACGGCCCACGGCAGCGATGGACGCGGGTCACAGGCTGGGGCTGTCCTGGCTGTCGCTGAATGGCAGAGGGCGAAGAAGGAGAGTTGAGGGAGGTTTGGGCTGTGCCGCTACCCGGGAGCAGCAAGGACGGGAGGATCTCCCCGCCCATGTATCGCACATGGACCGCAGCACCGCGCGGAGTCCTGGATGCCACTGTGTGCCGTCAGCCCTTTGTCCTTTCCACAAACACAGGCTGCTGTCCCTGAGCCCAGAGCACACCTGAGCTGTGCCCACAAACACAGGCTGCTGTCCCTGAGCCCAGAGCACACCTGAGCTGTCCCCACAAACACAGGCTGCTGTCCCTGAGCCCAGAGCACACCTGAGCTGTCCCCACAAACACAGGCTGCTGTCCCTGAGCCCAGAGCAGGCTCTGAACTGTCCCCACAAACACAGGCTGCTGTCCCTGAGCCCAGAGCAGGCTCTGAGCTGTCCCCACAAACACAGGCTGCTGTCCCTGAGCCCAGAGCACACCTGAGCTGTCCCCACAAACACAGGCTGCTGTCCCTGAGCCCAGAGCAGGCCTGAGCTGTGCCTGTGTCTGAGCCTTGCACAGCCCTGCAGACCCACACAGAGCTGCAGCAGTGGGCGGACTTGGGGCTCTCCTCCTCATGTATCAGAGGAGGAGTAACCCTAAGGTGAGGAATGAACAGCAATAGGGGAAGTATGCTAAAAATGCAAAAGAGCACCCCCTCCCACCCCCCAGAAAAGGGAAAGAGAAGGGAACAGGTTTTAAGTTCTTGCAGTGTGCACATAAATCAAAAATAAGACCATAACTCCAAGAAGCTTTTAATTTAATTAAGCATAGAAATATTGTGTATAACAAGGAACACAAGGACACATACAGCATATTAACAACCATACTATTATGGAAAAGCTTTTTCATATATTTGACTTTGCCACCATAGACTGAGAATGTTTATTAACAGTCCTTTTACTCTTTACATGTAGAAATATAGGAAAAAGAGACAGTGTAATTGAATCATCTAGTCATTCATTCACCAGGTAGGATGGACATTATTTACTGGAAAGACATGTATGGGAACAGACTAAAGAAGGATCTGAGCTTGTTTGGGAAAGTCAGCATAACCAAATAGGATAAAGCATGGCAATATAGGAAATCAGAAGTCAAGTGAGTAGGATGCAACATATTACTATGCTGAATCCTCTATACAACCCAAGAAATAAAAATAAATAAATAAAGGATAAAGGTGCGTCTTTTGGGAAGGATGTTTAACTGCAGTTCAGAAATTCTTAAACAGAAACTCACATGATAAAACTACAGATATGGTACATTCACAGGGAATCTGAGACATCTGAAATGCATCAGACCCATAGAGCTGACCCCAAATGAGTGTGCCCCACAGAGGTGACCCATGCACAGAAAGGCCTTATATCACACAGACAGCTGGGAAATAAGCTGCCATTATTTTTATATCATTCAAGGAATTCACACTTTGGCTTTATTCCACAGTGTTAAGCAATGCAGTACTTCTACTCCAAGTCATGGTCCAGACAGTCCAAATCAAAAACCTCGAATATCCAGCAGTTAGGCTTCCTAAACCATGTCCAAAGAAATTTGAGATACCTAAGGGTAGGTGCCACATAAACCAGCATATTAGAGCAAACACTTGAAGATTATGGAAATGGCTGAATTTTATTCAGCCATTTTAAAATACTTTTTAGTTTGTGTTTTGTTTTTTTTTTTTCTGGAACTCAAGAACTTTCAAGAAAACAGTGTGAAGAAACTTATTTTAATTTAGGGATTGAAGCACTAATCCACGAACCCCAAAGATGCATTAGGAAATACTTTTTTTCCTTTCAAAAACTGCAAATGTCTCTTTAAAGAAATGCCCAGAGATATTCCACTTGGTAGTGGCAAGATGTGGGTTCCAGAGAATAAATTCTCCCTGTAAATAGGGCCACTTCCCTACAGGAACAGGTGGAGCCTCACTGACAGAAACTCTTTAAATTTTTTGAGATTTGTACATCTGTCTCCTGCCTACAGTTCTCAGAAGATTTAGCCCATTACATATATCCTTTGTACAAAGAGCTACCCAAAGGAGAGAACTGCCTTGTAAATCTGTACTTCCATTTACTGAGAGCAGCTCAAAGTGCTCCAAATGCAGTGCAGAGCTAAACTCAGGGCGCACCACTACTGAATTGTCATCAGTGTCTTAGCAAATCTCTAGCCCACCTCAGTCTTCTCTGCCTTGATTTTGCTGGGATAGCATTCCCTCAGCTCACAGTGCTGGCAGGAGGATCAGTACCATGAGGTCTGGATGGTGCTCAAGTATTAGTTGAACACCCTTTAGGAATGTACAGAAAAACTCAGAAACTCATGAAGGAAAGTAGTCTGAGTTGTCTTCTCAACCACACAACCCCAAAGGCAAATACAACCACAGGAAGATCAGGAACCAGTCACTCTTGAGGTAAGGGCACGCTGAGGGGTGTGGGAGGGGTTATTATACATAATATGTATATATGTATATATATAATATCTTACAATAAATGTGCATTTCTGTTCATATGTTCATTCCTCCCAAAATACTGCACCAGAGCAGGTTTCAGGCAAGAACTCTGGATGTGCAACAATGATAGCCTTGTTCTACTCTTAAGAGCAGCACACAACAGTGTAGCCACTGCCAAAAACACAGCCAAAACCACTCATGTTAGATATGTAGGCATTTAAATCCCAGCCAAGCTCTTTAGTTTGATTTACAGTAGAAGTATGGCTCTTTTACTTTAGCAAAATCAAATCCAATCAGAAAAAGTTAATTCCTATTGGGTACTTTCTTTCATACCCCTTGGAATTTAAATGTTAGTTAGACTTTCCTGTCAACACTCAACACTGAATCACAGCTGATCTTCTCTCAGCCTAATAAACACTGTAGATACCAGCTCAGCTTGTATGATGTTGGAAAACTCAACACCACTTTCATCTATCCAGGGTGATCTACATTCTTGATTAATGTGTATTTCCCCATTGCTTTGCTCTGTTGGTTCACAGAGAAAAGACATCAGCTTACCTGAGCTATAAGGATTAAAGGATAAACAGACAATTCAGCTTTCTCAGAATTTTGCCTCAAAGTGACAAAAATCAAACACACATATCAAAGGATTTGATGCTTAATAGCAATGTTCTACCCCAAAGGGTAGAAAATCATAAAAGCAGCATTAACCAACTGTGCTGCCCACAGACCCAGTCTACTTGCAGGGGGGAAGGAAGCCCAAGGCGAGCTCAGAAGAACAGAAACTACAGCTTTGAACCAGGAGGACAATCCAGGTGAGCAAAGCCTGTCCCACACTGGCAGCACCGAGTGCACAGACCCACGGACTTGAGGACAGGGTGGGTGTGATCCCTCTGGCAGCAACCAGCCCCTCACCTAAATCCCCCACCCCAGGTAGTGCATGACTTCTCTGCTGGGCTGAAATACCAGATTTTAGGTCAAATCACTGCAGAAAATGCACCTAAGTGTAGAGAAAGTGGGGCTGAGAGGCTGGAAGGGTGGTGGAGAGGAGGTCAGAGGCTCATTTAGCACCTGGCTGCCCCTGGGTTGCAGCATCACATCCCTCCTCTTGTCTCATAGGCAGCATTTCACACTCTCCTCAGACTGTTTCTGTGCAAAGGAGTGAGAAAACCCAGCCTCAGGCAGCTGCAATTCAAACCACAGCCAACCCTGCTTTTTCTGCTGCCTCCTTCAGAAAGGGGGGTGCAGGACAATAACAGCTTTTCCTGCTCCCCACGTACTGGCAGGAATGTCTCCCACCTGTGGAAGCCTTTTCTTTTACCTCTGTCCCTACCTGTCTCTGCTGGAGACGTGCTTGGAGCACCAGGAGCAATGTTAGCAAAATTAGTAATTCCCTGCTAAATTTTTTAATGCTCTTATTTATATTACTTTTATATCATTATTTATTGTTTTAAATTATATATTTGATCTATTTTGATAACTGGATTTATTTTGTGGGGCTTCCCCACTCATCCTGATGCTCAGCAGAGGAAGTAGCTGAGACCAATCACCAATTTCAGGCATGAGGGGAAAATAAAGATAAGATGATGCCTTTTGTGAATGCTTCAGTATTCAGAACAGGACCAAATAACACAGCAGGATGATGGTTTTGCTTCAAAATAAAACTTCAGAATAAAATAAAGAGAGAAAAGGTGTAATCATACCATATGAGAAGTTTATATTTCAAATCCAGAGCAAAGGGAGGTCCCTGCCATATGTATCTAAATCTTGCAAAGGTCTGAAATGTAGGTCACATCTATTTAGGACACTGAGCATCCCCTTTGGCTAGTTCTACATGGCTTCACACTGAGGTACTTGAAGAGCTGTTTGGTTCACCATGCTACTTAGCATCCAGTTCTGAAATGCTGTTCTCTCACTCCAGGTATTTGTGTAAAGTTTCTGTGGGCTTCTTCTCAGGAGTGGAGACTCTGCTTTTGGGAGACAGGAGCAAAAAAGAGGCACAGCGGTGCTGGGGATGGGAGCGTGCACGTCTTTCACAGATGTTTCCCTGAAGTCTCTCAGGACTTCATTGGTAAAGATGCCTTAAAGTGAGTGTGCTAATTTGTGTTATCTGAATAGCACACAGTTCCTTGCTGTAACAGAGAATCCAGCCAGTTTTACCTTGATTTTAACTTATTCACATTTGGGTCAAAAACTAGGAAAATTCAGCAAGATTATAAAGAATGATTTCTCATAGACATTTGCATGGCCAGTTCTTCATCCTGAACTTTCTTATTCTTTCAACCTGACAAGATTTCAGTGAGTTTTTATATCAAAGCTTTTGAACAAACCTATGAATCAAAGATAGCATTCAGTCCTGTGTACATTCTTTGCTTGATATTGAACCCCCTGCTGATTCAGAAAAATATAGATGTAATTTTAGAGGGTCATTTGTTTAAAGTTTTCTTTGAAGACTAAGAATATGTAGTAACTCAAACACAACCAGTGCATCTAAGAACTAAACCCTAAAACATGCACCAATTTGATGGTTTTATGTTACTTCAAGCTAATACATTACTTAATTGCTTACTTTTCTTTGAAACATGAAGCATGAGAAATTTTGTAGTTGAAAATACAGGAGATAAAAGAGAATGCAAAGCAT